AACAAACAAATGGATGGAGAAGCTGTGGTATATTCACACAATGGAATACTATGCTGCATTGAAAAACAAGGAACTCATGCAATATTATTCAAAATAGGTGACTCTGGAGGACATTATGCTGAGTGAAGTATCACAATCACAAAAGGACAAATACTGTATGGTGCCACTGTTGTAAAACAGGACTGACCTTGGGGTTGGGGAGAGACTGAGAAAGATGGGTTTAATAATGTATACTGTATTGAAACAGATGAGGGAGAAAAACTGTTTAAAAGGGATATGTGATTAGGTATTTTTGTCATGACAGGAGTCTAGAGTGAAGGCTACATGGTGGAGTGGACCTGGGGGAGAGTTTGTAAAACAATGAAAGAATTTGTCTTTTACTTTTCCAAGCGGGTTGGGAGGGGAGAAAAGTACAACAATGAATGAATGGCAATCCAAAGTCTGTAAATTTTTACTGAAATTAATAATAAATTTAATTTTTTTTTTAAAAAAAAAGCATAGACAGCAGGAAGAAAAGGAGGCTCAAGCCCACAAGGGGCTCTAGAGACAGTGAAGGTCACACTTTATTACTGTCCTCCTCAAGGAAAATTTGTATTCCTGTGGAGCTGAAGGCAGCCCTCCCAGAGAGAGACTTAGGTGCTCACAGGAAAGAGTACTGTGGGAACAGGTGTGCTTGACGCTGTGAGAGAACACAGTGGGGCACCACAGCACCAGCCGAGGCTGAGGAGGCACATCCCAGTGAGTTCCCAGTACCTGTGATGCTCCCTGAGAGAGGCGGCCTGCCGGAGGCTGCTCTCCTGAGCCTGTGCCACCCGCTCTGTCACCCGCTGCTCAAGCTGCACAGCCAGCTCTGACTCCATCTGGATCCGCTGGCTTTCACACCGAGCCTGGGAGTGGAAGAGAGTGGTAGAATGTCACACCTTTTTTGGACTTCAAAGAAAACGTAGGGTGCAATGTAGACAAATCCATGTACCATATTCTCTCTCCTGTGTTTAAAGGATAAAGAGTAATAATTTTGCCATGGAATGAAAGACATTTCTTTTCCTTATTAAACCACAAAGTGAAAATTACATCAGACAAAAGGAAAAAAAGATATAATTTTTAATCAAAAGAAATGTTAGGTATAACAATTTAATCTATTCTATGTGTTCAAAGAGAACATCATGCAAAATGTCTATTACAGAACTTGCAACTCAACTGGCATTCAATGTATGTCACTGTTAATAAATACCTTTTCTTCTTAAAGGAGCTCTGGTTTAAAACTATACTTTCAGATATCATTTCTGTAGTTTATTAAAGGAGCTCTAGTGGAAATATTAGTAAAACATTTAGTTGGCAACTGAAAGTTGGCAGTTTCAACCCATTAGCCGTGCTGTAAGAGAGACTTGGCAATTTTCCCTGAAAAGACTGTAGCTACCAGCACAGCCGTCCTTTGTCGTATAAGATCGCTGTAAGTCGGAACTGACAACACACAATAATAACAGTTTGCTCCTCAAGCAGAATCAGTCAACAATAGTTGTGTTCCTTTTTCTCAACTTGTATTCCTTCTTCAACTCACCAAAATCTGACTTCCACTTATAGTACTTCACTGCAAAACCTTTACTCTCTAAAGCTAATAGTAGCCATTTCTCAGTCTTTATTTTATATGATCTCACTGTAACTGACATTAGCAGCCCAGTGCTTTTTCCTCCAGACACTGTTTCCCCATGGCTCCCACAAAATCACCATCTCCTGGTACTCATTCTACTCTGACTGCTCCTGTCTCAGCTGTTTGCTTTTGTAGCTTCCTGTGAAGGTGGATGCTGAGCAAATAATTTGTGAAGCTGGACTCTATGAAGGGGAATGTGGCACTGGATCAGAGGAAGACTCATCAACAACCTGCATTATGCAGATGATACAACCTTGCTTGCTCAAAGTGAGGAGGGCTAGAAATGCTTGCTGCAGATCAATAACTACAACTTTCAATATGGATTACTTCTCAACATCAAGAAAACAGAGATCCAAGATGGCGGTGGAGTCAGAGACAATGTGGTGAGCTGCAGGAGCAGCAGACCACTTGGAAAAGGGCCATTTTGACCCTCTACAGACTTCTGTTTATTGATAATTGAACAGTTAAACAGTTGATGACTGGTCTTCAGTGAGGATTGAGGCTCAACAACAGGAATTCAAGGATTCCCAAGGAAGAATGGGTGAGTGCTGCAGCTTCTGAGCCCCTCCCGCAGAGCCCGCACTGCGCCTCACCACAGCTGCAGCTCCATGAAGCTCCCACAGACGGAACCTATGGAATCCCTCGCCCAGGATGGAGGATGGCGGAGCCACCACACTGCAGCAAAGTGTACTTGTTCTGGGGAGAATTCTTGGAGCCAAGATGGTGGCGGCGGCAGGAGAAGCAGGCGGCCACCGGCCTCCCATGCACGAGATGAAGTGTGACCGCCAGCGGCCCGTGTGGGAGATGACGTGCGGGAGATGGTTTGCGCCCGCCAGCCACCCACAATGTAAGACTGCACTGGCCTAGCAGCTGCCTGCATGGGGGGGATGGTGTGCGACCACCGGCTTCCCGCACATGGGATGGCACGCTCCTGCCAGCTGCCTGTGTGGGAGATGACACTTAGGAGGTGGCTCGCGCCTGCCAGCCACCCACACAGAAGATGGCAGGCGCCCGGTGGCCGCCCACACAGGAGGATGGCGCACGCCTGCCGGCCGCACAGTGGGATGGCGCGCGCCCTCCGGCCACCCGCGATGGTGAATGGCACGTGCCCGCCAGTCGCCCGTGAGGGAGATGGCGCGCGCCTGCTGGCCACCCCAAGCTGGGGGATGGTGCACACCCACTGGCTGCCTGCGCACGAGATAGCGCACGAATGCCGAGAGATGACATGTGCCTGCCAGCCGGCCGCACAGGGGCATGGTGCACACCCACCCCCACCAGCTGCCCACGCACGAGATGATGCCCGCCTGCCGAGAGATAACATGCGCCCGCCAGTCGCCTGAGCACGAGATGATGCGCGCCCGCCAGCCGTCTGTGTGGGAGATGACACTCGGGGGATGGCTCACGCCCGCCAGCCACCCACGCAGAAGATGGCACGCACCCGGCGGCTGCCCACGTGGCGAGGTGGCGCATGCCCGCCAGTCGCCTGTGTGGGGGATGGCGTGCGCCTGCTGGCCGACCCGCGCTGGGGGATGGTGCGCACCCGCTGGCTGCCTGCACACAAGATGACCCGAGCACTCCAAGAGATAACGCACACCCGCCGAGAGATGACGTGTACCCACCAGCCGCCCGTGTGGGAAATGATACTTGGGAGATGGCTTGTGCCCGCCAGCCACTCACACAGAAGATGGCACGCGCCTGGCGTGCCAGTCACCTGTGTGGGGGATGGCGCACGCCTGCTGGCCGCCCCGTGCTGGGGGACGGCACGCACCCGCTGGCTGCCTGCCTACGAGATGACGCGAGCCCTCCGGTCGCCTGCGCGTGAGATGACATGCGCCCGCCGGCTGCCCGTGCTGGGGGATGACGCACACCCACCCCTACCGGCTGCCCGCGCACAAGATGACACGCGCTCGCCGGTCGCCTGCGCACTGGGAAATGGCACCCACCGGCTGCCCGGTGCACGAGATGATACGTGCCCGCCGGCCGCCCGCGTGGGAGATGACACGCAGGAGATGGTGAGCGCCTGCCAATCACCTACGCTGGGGGATGGTGCGCTCCTGCCGGCCGCCCACACGGAACAGACAACGAGCGCCCCACCCCCTGTGGGGGGGACGTGTGCCCCACCACCTGCAGGTTTGGGTTTCCTTGGAAAACCAGTGAAGATGATCACCTATACAATGGATTGTTGAAAGTCACTGTGAGTTGTCTACTTGATGACACTTAATAGTGGCAGCATGTCCAAGAGGACCAACATCCTAAATGCACCACATATTTTGATCTGTTGAATGCTTCTGCCAAAAGATGTTTAGACCTGGGGGGAGCCTGTTCACAATTTTCAGGTTCCCTTTGCCATTTATAAAGGGGGAGGGAAGTGACACCTACTTCAAATTATAGTATGACCACTTATGGGGGGGGGGTAAAAGTGGTGGTGCTGGAACTGGAGACGCTGTCCCTGGCCACACACTCCTTGGTCAGGTGAGGGGACCAGATTAGTGTGGGGGCAATTAGAGGGGAGTGTACCAGCCAGCCCATGGGGGGTGTTGCCCTGCCCAGGGTGGGCTGTCTTCGGCCCTCAGCTCGGGATGAGCCGTCATGGCCCCCAGGGTGAGGTCCTCAGTCCCTCCAGATGGTGCCATCTGACCCCTGGGTAGGAAAAAAATGCCTAGGGTATCCAGAGAATTTTATCTAGGCTACTTTCTGCCACCCTCTCCCCCAGTAAACCTGAAAGCAACACCCCCAAAACCCCTATATTTGTAACTCACAAGTTTGTTCTCTCTAGGTTTGCTCCCTTTCCTACAGGTAACCTTACCACTGAGTTTTACTTCAGATCTGACCCTGAACCCAGTGCCAGTGACAAAAAGGAAATACAACTGCCAGCTAAAGAAGCAAAGGAGGATGGAGCCTCTGGGTTCAACCAGCCATTCCCACTGGACCCATCTGGGAAAACACTTTGCAGTCCAGAGGGGAGCAAATGACAGGAAAATATCTTCTAACAGAACAAGAAGGCAAGCAGCCTTAACCCAAGATCACCAGTAAGGTGATAAAGTGTCCTCCCTTTCCCCCTTCACATCAACGCCCCTGTTCAGCATGAAGAAGCCAGAGAGTCGGCATCCAGTTCCCAAATCAGTAAGACAGTTGATTTAACTACCATTGGAAAATGCTTGTCATTTTCCTGTAGCATCTGGTCCCCACTGGATCACTTTCATTTCCTTCACCTGCTCCCCCCACCGACCAAACTGTGAAGCTCTGCAACTGCATCCCTGCCCATCCTCACCCTTCTGCCCCAACCCTCACCTCCTTGTACCCCCAATTTGTTTTTTCCCAATAAAAAAAATTGAAAAAAAAAACAAAGGTCCTCACTACTGAGTCAAGAGGCAACATCATGAAGAGAAAGGATTGAATCTATCAATTATTTCCTTTTACTTGGATCAACAAACAATACTGTTGGTACCAGCAATTAGGAGATCAGGAGATATACTGCTTTTGGAAGACTGCTTGCTGTCAGGGACCTCCACAAATTTGATTGAAGATTAAGGTGCACTGATCCAGGCCGTGGTCTTTTTAAACCACCTGGTACACATCTGAAAGCTACACATGAATAATGATGACAGAAGGACGGATATTTTTGAGTTTTGGTAAAGGAGAACAGTACTGAATATCCCATGGATTGTCAAAAGAAAAAACAGAAATGTCTTGGAAAAAGAGGAGCCAGAGTGCTCCTTAGAGGCAAGGATGGCAAAGCTTTATCTCCCATACTTTGGACATGTTACTAGAATAGGCTATTCCTTGGAAAGGGCTACTAAGCTTACAAAGGTGGAGGGACAGAGAAAGAGAAGAAAGATGATGTGGATTGACATGGTGATTGCAGCAGTGGGATCAAGTGTGTGAGAGATAATAAGGATGGAGCAGGACAGGGTTCAGGTATGTTATTTATAGTGTCACTATGAGTCGTACTCAACTCAAAGGTACCTAACATAACAACAATAACAACAAGAAGGCATTATGTGTGCTGGAGTTCTGTCCTTAGATCTCTCTTCTGCCATAAGCAACATTCTTATTCACGGATGCATAATTAACTTTGGACAGTTTGGCCATTCTTTTTGCTACCATTTATTCTTTAATACTTCCCTCCACAACTAACAGTTGAACTTCTACCTTCCCTAAACTCTAAGAGGATAAACTTTTCTTTGCTCAAGCCATCCACTTGTGCTATCTGTTATTAGATAACAAAGACAGAATCTG